GAAAGAACAGAAGAAAACTCAAGAAAAGAACTAAACAAAATAGAGAAAAACAATCTACTAGATGCAGAGTTCAAAATACTGGTTATAAGGATGCTCAATGAATTTAGGGAAAGAGTAGTTGGACTTAAAAAGAACTTCAGCAGCATAAAAAAGGCCAGAAACCATATAAAAGAACATGAAAACCATAAGAAAAAAACAGCCAGAAATGAAGGACACACTAACTAAAATGAAGAATAATTTACAGGAAATCAACAGTAGGGTAGAAGAAACTGAGAATCAAATCAGTAATTTGAAATAAAAGAAGGCAAAAACCACTCAATCAGAAGAGCAAAAAGGAAAAAAAATCCAAAAAAAAATGAAGATAGTATAAGGAGCCTCTGGGACAATGTCAAGCGTACTAACATTCGCATCATTGAGGATAATGGAAGGAGAAGAGTGAAAGCAAGAGATTGAAAACCTATTTGAAAAAATGATGGAAAATTTTCCAAAACTGGTGAAGAAAGTACACATACAAGTCTAGAAAGTGCAGAGAGTGCCCTGGCTGGGTAGCTCAGTTTGTTAGAGCATTGTCCCCATAAACCAAGGTTGTTGGTTCAATCTCCAGTTACGGTACATACACGAATCATCCAATGAATGTATAAATAAGTGGAAAAATCAAATCAGTATTTCTCTCTCCCTTCCTCTCTCTCTTAAATCAATAAAGTTAAAAATAAAAACAGTTCTGGAGACTATAAAAAAAAAAGAAAGTGCAGAGAGACCCAAAAAAGATGAACCCAAAGGGGCCCACAAGAAGACACATCATAATTAAAATGCCAAAGGTTAAAGACAAGGAGAAAATCTTAAATGCAGCAGGAGAAAAGCAATTAGTTACTTACAAGGGAGCTCCCATAACAGTGTCAGCTGATTTCTCAACAGAAACTTTGCAGGCCAAGAAGGAACTGGCAAGAAATATTTAGAAAAGCAAGGACCCAAAACCAAGATTACTCTACCCAACAAAGCTATCATTGAGACTCGAAGGACATATAAAGAGCTTCCCAGACAAGGAAAAGCTAAAGGAGTTCATCACCACCAAACCAACATTACATGAAAAGATAAAGGGTCTTCTTAAAAGAAGAATAAATTAATCTAAATAAATAAATATAAATAAATAAATAAATAAGCAGAACAGAAAAAGAAAAAAACAGGGGGGGCTTCCTCAATATAAAAAAGAACATCTATGACAAATCTATAGCAACCATCATACTTAACAGTAAAAGACCAAATGCTACTTCCCTAAGATCACAAACAAGGCAAGAATGTCCACTTTCACACTTCTAGTCTATAGTGTGTTGGAGGTCATACCCTATCTAGTGTAATAAAGAAAAAGAAATTGCCCAGCCAGGTGTGNGCAGAACAGAAAAAGAAAAAAACAGGGGGGGCTTCCTCAATATAAAAAAGAACATCTATGACAAATCTATAGCAACCATCATACTTAACAGTAAAAGACCAAATGCTACTTCCCTAAGATCACAAACAAGGCAAGAATGTCCACTTTCACACTTCTAGTCTATAGTGTGTTGGAGGTCATACCCTATCTAGTGTAATAAAGAAAAAGAAATTGCCCGGCCAGGTGTGAGTGGTTGAGCATCAACCTAGGATCCAGGAGATCGTGGTTTGATTCCCGGTCAGGGCACATGCCCAGGGTGCAGGCTCGATCCCCAGTGGGGATGTGCAGGAGGCAGCCAATCAATGACTCTCATCATTGATGTTTCTCTCTCTCCCTCTCCCTTCCTCTCTCTGAAATCAATAAAGATATATTTAAAAAATAAAAAAATGAAAGGAAGGGAGGAAGGAGAAATTAATTAAAGGAATCAAGATTAGAATAGAAATAAAACTAGATCCCCAGAAGACAAGACTATCCACGTAGAAAATCTTATGGAATCTATAGAAGTGGTAATGGAACAAATGAATTTAGCAGATTCCTAGGATGGAATGTCACTATAATAAAATCAATCATATTTCTATATATTGGCAATAAACTATTGAAAATTAGTATTTTTAAAATATGCAATTTATCATAGCATCAAAAAGAATGAAATGCTCAAGTAAAAATTGGATAAAATCTGTAAAAGACCTGTACAGTGAAAACTATAAAACACTGTGCAAAGAGGTTAAAGAAATTCTTAGTAAATGAATATGTTGCAATCCTAATCAAAACTCTAGCAGCTATTTATAGAAGTTGAAAAGCTAATTCTAAAATTCATATGGAAATGGAAATGCCTAAAATAGTCAAAACAATTTGAAAACAAAGAACAAAGCTGAAGAACTAAATACATGAGAAAATCAGATAGCTAGTTCCAAACAAGTGTAGCATCATTATATGACATCATTTTAACAGAAAAATGGCCATCACTTTTTATATTTCGTTTGTAAAATATAAAAATATCACACATGTCCCCTTTGATAATTGGCTTATCTTTTTCCGTTCTTCCTCCTTCCCAAAGGTAATCACAGTGAGTTTGGTAACCTTTCCAGACCTTTTTTGTACATCTATGTACATATATGTAGCCTTAGAAAATTATAGTATTATATGTGATGTTACTATGAAGGAACATATGAGAATAAAAAGAGCTTCAATTCAGGACAATTACTATCTAGGGGCAGGGGCAATGATAGGGTGAGGGTAAGGGTGTAGGACAGACAGAGGGAAGGGTAAGGATGCCATTAGAAAGGGTTCAGTCTAGTCGGCTTCAAATCTTTTGGTAATGTTTCATTTCCTAACCTGGGTGGTAGGAAACAGGTATTCACCACATTATTTTGTAATTTTTTAAGAAAATGCTAGTTAAACTGAACATATTCAGCAACTTAGAGATCTATCCATGTTACTATATAATAAATGTTTCTCTCTTTTATGCTGCAGAGTATTTAATAATACAACTGGAAAATAGTTTACTTAGCCACTGATGGACACTTGTGGACAGTTTTAGTCACAAGCAACGCTGCTGTAGCCTTCTTTTGCTGTACAAGCTTTCCTGCATACATGCGAAGGTGTTCTGTCTTAAGATGTAATTGCTGGAGTACATGCATTCTCAATTTTTTACATTAATAAATAATGTCAAAATGTCTCTCAACAAGCTATATCAATTTATGTTCCCACCACTAGTAAAACAAAAAACCAATTTTTCCACACCCTCAACAATGCTGGATATTATTAGTCTTTGTTAATTTTTCTACTTTAAATAAGGTGAAAATATCATCTCATTTGAATTCACAATTCCTTGATTAATATTATGATTGAGCACCTTTTTGTGTATTTACATGCCATCAATATTTTCTATTCTATAAGCTGCCATTTGTATCGTGTCTTTTTAACTTTATCGTTGAAAGTATTACAGATGTCCCGTTTTTTCTCCCACTGATCCCTTCCTACCGCACATTGACCCTACCCCCACCACCCTACCCCTCAACCTTCCCCATACCCATGTCTATGTCCATGGGTTATGCTTATAAACATAAAAGTTCTTCGATTAATCTCTCCCTACCCACTCTCCCATCCCCACCTTCCCTCTGAGATCCTGGTGCCTGGTGCCCTCGACTACAAGTCCTCCTCTACAACCCTGTATGGCGAGAGCTACCTGTGAGGCCCTCATGGAGAGCCCTGACCAAACACCCCCTCCCCAAAGCCTCTAGGAGGGTCTGGGGGAGCCTCCCTGGTCCTGCTCCTCTGACTCTGTATCTATGCAAAGTACTCTCAGTCCTTTCTGGGGGATGGGTGGGGTGGGCAGAGAGGGGCTGGGGCAGGCTCTGGCCTCTCTCTGTCAGTTGGCCAGGAGGTTCTCTCCCCCTCCCCCTGGAGAGGGGTACGGGAGACTTTTTATTTGTATCCTTTATCCATTTTTAGAACTTTGGTCGTCTTTTTCTTATTGGTATTTTATACTTCTTAAACACTGTGGTAATAATTAAACACATATTAGAGATGATCTCAATAAATCATATTTGTAATCCCTTACCCTTGCTTTATTGAAAACAAATATTAAAAATTAATATTTATTTGAAAATTTTGTGGTCAACCTTTCTAGTACCACAATTAAACACTTAAGAAGTATATGATAAAAAGAATACCTTTAATTAACTTAGGTAAAAGGTTTCAAGATTTTTCAAAACTATATTAATTTATTTTCTATGACAGTCAAATAAAGTGATTCCTAGAGTACTGTTGTCACAACTTCCAACACAGAACATTAATGTAAACTTCACAGGCAGGCATGCTGAACACACACTGAGGATGAGACAGCACTGAGGCCTGTTTGTTAAATAATGTCAGGCATGCAAGCAGGATGGTGGTTATGTTTTGCAAACAAACGAATTTATAGAACTATCTGAGGGTAAAACAGGGTGTCGAGGACTGGCTTTAAAATACTAGAGAAAAAAGAGATGCATGAAATAGCTGAAGAGCAAAAGCAGTGCTAATTACTGGAGCTGGACGGCAGGTTCTTAAGGGCTCTTTCCAGTGTTCTCTCTACTTCTATACCCATTTGAAAAGTTCGAAGTGTTTTTAATGAAAGTTGAATGTTAATGCTGGAGAAAAGGTTATCTGACTAACCTTAGTGTCACAATGTGTTTCTGCACAAGAGAAAAATTAAGTACTTTTATTCTAAGAACTTCTCAAGATTAAAAATTAGTTTAGACTCTGGACTAGAATGTGCAAGATACTTTTAAAGCTTTATAAAAAAGACTCCAGTTGAGTACTTAGTAATAGCAAAAACATCCCTATAATCAACTACAAAACCAAAAATTAACTCTGATCTCTTTTCTACTTTAATCCATAATATTCTATTCCATCCGGAGTTCTATCAAGCGTACAAAGTGTTCCAAGATCACAGAACAAAGTCAGTCTTCAACTCAAAGGCAAGCTACTGCTGTGTATAACCAACAGCATCAATCCTCTGTGGATAAAAATAGCCTTCACACACTGCAGGCACCAAAGACCCAGGGAAAGTCAGGCAGAACAAAGTGGTTACCAGGGAGGAATGCGGCCAGCGGAGAGCTTGCCCTTCTGCCCTTCACACAAGAGTCTGTTCGCAACTGAGACTGGGTTCTTGATTCCTATAAAATAAAATTGGCAGAAAATTAAGTCAAAAAAATGTCTTCACCTTTCCCACTCAGTTTTGTGGCAATTTCAATAAAAACAACATTTCAATATCATGGAAAACTCTTCTGTTATACACTAGTAAAAACTCTTAGTTATCATAAAGAATACAGACCAAATAAATACATGGATACCTAGTAAATGCAAGAAAAGAATATAAAACATACCTTCACATGTTTTGTCATACACTACAGCAGCAAAGACTGGATTTGAAATTATACACATTTAAATTAGGGTCCTTTTTAATAGATTTCTGAATAATGGAATAGAAAAATAAACTGAAATGTGGTGCCTACAATCAGAACCACAGATTTGGTCAAAAGAATAAACATGGTTACAAACAGCTTTGAATTTGCCTTGGGGAGGAAAAGTAATGGCCAAATATTTTAAAGCTCACCTGCAAGAGGGACTGAACATAAAGGAAGTCCTGCGAATTAGGTAAGTATGGGGAGAAGAGACCAAGTACAGAGAAGATTGTAACCTAAAGTACAGTTCAGATTGTAACCTAAGTGTGGTTCAGACTGTAACCTAAGTGTGGTTCAGATTGTTCCCAGGAGGGAAAACAGAATGGGAAAAGTGAAAATGGGTGCTTATCTGGGAGGAACGAATGACAGGGCAGTAAGCATTAGTGTAAAAGCCATTATCAGGGTGACAATGATGACAACTATGATGATGATCTAAGGACAGGAGACAGTAACAGTAACTTAGTATCTAATATGTGCCAGGCCTACCGCCAATCCCTTAAATGAAATCAGATTACTTAAATGATGCCTTCACTCTATCACATAAATACAGTTATGAACCCTATCTCATTACTGAGGAAACATCTGCCCAGAGGGTTAATTCACCTGCTCAAGATCACAGTGCTGAGATTTTAACAGAGGCAGCTAATGCCAGAGATTACACCCTTAACCACTAACATATGGATGGTTCTCAGGACACTACTAATGCAAACAAACAAAAATCAGCAGTGGGATATAAGAGCCTATAAAAACTTCAATTAAGACCACCACAGTGACATAAAATAAAACTGACTACATATTTAGCTTAATACCAAAAACTGTCACACACAAAACATTAGAAATATTAAAGGACAAAAAAGCTCAGATCTCTGAGCTCTTAAAATATATTTCTGGATAAATGATTCAATAGTGTAGATGTTAATAATTGCCAAATTAACTTATAAATTCAAATCTCTTAATTCAAAACTTAAAAAAGATTTCTGATGTATGACAAGCTGACTCTTAAATTCATCAGAAAGAGAAAACTTCGGGAAAAAATTAAGAAGTACTCACCCCAATGAGAAACCATGTGTATTAAAAGCTATCCTAATGAAAAGAGTGTGGTTTGAGTACAAGACAAATATATCAACTGAACAGAGCTAAAGTTCAGACACAGACACGTGTGAATATGGATATTTAATACATGATGTAGATAGTTTGTCAAATGCGTAGGCCAAGGATAGGGTATAGATGAGAGGCAGAAAGAACACAGAGTGCTGGGAGTCAGACTACTTTATAATTGTCCCAGCTATCAATTCGGTTCTCAGTTACAAATTCACCCTTTGTTGCCTGATCCATAAAAATGGAAAAGTGCCCTTTAAATGTTCCCTTTGCCAGCTGGCACACTGATACACTTTGTCAGTAGAGGGCACTGGTGACACATTGCAGGAGGAAGGATGGCTTGCTAGCCAGGCTCCCGGAGAGCACCAGTCTTCCTCCACGATCTGGCCCCTGTGGTAGTCTCCAGTGCTAAGTGGCTGCAGGGTGCAGTTCTCTGCAGCATTTGGCCACATGTTTTCCCCAGCTCCTGATTAAGGCCACAGCAGCACAGCTGACAGCCCCAGAAAGAACAGGACTGTACCCAGCTCAAGTCACTGATCCCCACATCTTCTCCTCAGCCCCACAGGTACACATGGCAAAATGTCCTATCTGGTTGACTGTCTCATGAACCAAAAGCCCAGTTGTTATCCTGTGCAACAGAGGTTTAATCACCATGGCTTCCTGACCTCTGTATGCCCACCCACCAGGTTAAGCTCACCTGAGCCCCCCAAGATTGTTCCTGCTCTCATGGTGACTATGGCCCGGGTTCCCCAGCGACTTCTCTGCCTGACAGTTAGCAGGCTGCAACCATACCTTCTGTAAGTTTACCCCTCCTTGGGTACTCTTCTGCCCTGGAATATACTTTGAGTTTTCTTCCAGTCTTTATACAGCTGCTGTCCTAGCACTGTGTGGTAGTTCTTTATACGAAACTTCTCGTGTTTAAACCACTGCGTGGTTTCTGTCTCTGAGTTGGACCCCAACTGATACAGTGACCTTGGACAAATTACTAAATCTCTCCTGCGTCTCAGTTTCCTCAGCTGTAAAACAGGAAAAAGGACTGCCCTCATGTTGCTGTGAGAACTAAATGATTTAATATATATAAAGTACTGGTTAAAAATGCACAGTATGTAAGTTACCCAATAAATGGTAATTATTACTGTTGTTATTCAATAAATTACGTAGGGGTAATTTGCTGGTCATTTCAGAAAAATAAACAATGCATTCGAGAGTTAAATAAAAATGTATTATACATGTATCAGAAGAAAATATAGGTGACCATACTTGTAATTATGAGAGAAACCTTAAAAAATGCAAAATACAAAAGCCACAAAAGAGAAAGTAATAAGTCTGACAAATAAAAATTTTAAATTCCAATATGATAAAGCACATTATAAATAGAGTTTTAAAAGGCAAGCCACACAGGAGGTATACACAATTCATAGAAAAATGTTAATGGCCTTTAAGCATATGAAACTTCATTGAATACCAATAAAATTTTATAATAAAAGAAAAGAAAATTAAACCTAATTGAAATGCCCGTTCCTACCTGTCACACAAATCAGAACAGATACAGACTATTGGAACAAATGAATAATCATATAGACCTAACTGACAGGTAGAACACAGACCCGACAACTGCAGAATACATATTCTTTTCAAGTTCACATGGAATATTTATCAAAACACACCATAATCTGGGCCATAAAGCAAGTCTCAAAAAGCTTTAAGGATTTGGAATCTTACAGCATATGTTCTCTGACCACAGTGAAATTAAACTAGAAATCAATAACGAAAGCTAACTAAAATGTCTTTAGGCAAATAAATTTGAACACTTACATGAGAAAGACAAATTCCTTAAAAAACACAAACGAGAAAAAGAAAATACAGTCTTATAACCGTTAAAGAAATTGGATCCCGTTTTTAAAAACTTCCCACAAAAACTCCACTACCAATTTAGAATAACTAATGAATTCCTCCAAACAATTAAAAAGAAATCATTCCAATCATACACAAACTCTTTCAAAGATCAGAGGGGAAAAAATCCTTAGCTCATTCTATGAGGCCAGCCATACCATGATTCCAAAACCTGAAAAGAATATTATAAGAAAGAAAAATTAAAGCCTATCTATTATGCAGTCATAGATGTCAAAAATATTGACATCAGCAAAATATAAAAAAATAAAAACTTACGACCAAGAAGATTTTATGCCAAGAATGGAATATAAATTTTATCACATTTAACAAAATAAAGCAGAAAATTTCATATCTCAGTAGATGCAGAAAAGCACTTAATGATATTCAATACCCATTCATAACAAGAACTATCAGCAAGCTAAGACTAGAAGAAAACATTCTCAATGTGATAAAGAGCATCTATGAAAATCCTACAACTAGCAGCATCCAGAAGGTGAAATATTTAATGTCCTCCCTATAAATAGGGAAAAAGCAAGGATGGACACTATTACCACCTACATTCAACACTGCTATGGATGTCATAACCAGTATAATAATGCAAGAAAAAAAATTAAAAATTTAAACAATGGAAAGAAAAAAGCAAAACTGCCATGCCCAGCTGGGAGTGGCTCAGCCGTTGAGCACTGACCTAGGATCCAGGTGATCGTGGTTCAATTCCCGGTCAGGGCACATGCCCGGGTTGCGGGCTTGATCAATGACTCTCTCCTCATTGATGTTTCAACTCTCTCTCTCCCTCTCCCTTCCTCTCTGTGAAATCAAGAAAGATTTTTTTTTTTAAATGCCATGATTCACAGGTGATATAATCGTGTATGTAGAAATTCCACAGGAACCTATTTTTTTTTAACTCTAATATGCACTGAGAAACCAAAAACTTCATGGGACTCACTTTCTGGGGATATTCACTTCATAGAGGCAGTCTGGAACAGAACCCACAATATTTCCGAGGTAGACTTGTATGTCATTTGAATTTTTTAACAATAAAAATATATTATTTCAAATAATTGTAAAATTAATGGACTATGCTAACACACTTTAAATGTCTCTAATCTCTCGAGGGGATGGGGGAGAGTGATCAAACTCTAACAAAGACTATCTGTAGCTAAAATTTCATGTTTTAAATTCAGTAAAAGAAAAAAAAGAATGTTTGTTTTCAATGCTATTCCAAGCAAGAATGGTGGAAAAACTGGACTCAGTCTTTAGGTGGCATGGAATGGTAATATTCAGTTTTGTAAAGAACAGCGATAGTGTGTTATAGTGTCCACATACCACTCAGTGCTCCAACAGCTCCAAAATTTAAGGATTTTCCATCCATAATGCTGGCATCACACTCAATTTCACCCAAGAGATTTAGATTAGATCCCATTCCTGCATTTGTAAAAGGAGAATCCTAAAAGATAAAAACAAAAAAATTAAAATACCTTTAGTCTTTTTTTTAATTTATCTTTATTGTTGAAGAATATTTAATATCAATCCTTCATAAAACTGTTCCATGAACTAGAGAGGGAAAGAACACGACCCAATTCATTATATGATAGCAACACTACTGGGACAAAACAAAAGAAACACATCATGAGGAAAGAAAACTACAGACCAAAATACCTTATGAATATTGGCACCGAAAATCCTCAAGGAAATAGTAGCCAATCAAATGCAACAAAAAAAATGAAAGGATTAAATACCATGAAAAAGAGGGAGGCCAGAGAGTAAGTTTGGTTTAATATCTGAAACTCAATGTAATTCACCACATTAATAAAGGAACAAAAAACAAAAAACAAAACACCGTGATCATGTAAACAGAGAAAAAGACTTTGACAAATTCCAATATCCTTTCATTGGGAGGGGGGCGGAATTCAACAAAGTAAAAATAGAAGGGAACTTCCTTATTATGATAAAAGGCACCTACAAAAAGTCCAGCACTAACAGGATAATTAATAGTAAAAAACTGAATGCTTTCCTCTAAGATCAGGAACAATACAGTATAACAATGTTCACTCTTACCACTTCTATTCAACATTATACCAGGTATTCTGGACAGGACAACTAGGCAAGAAAAAGAAATAAAGAGCCTCTATATTAGAAAGTAAGAAATAAAGCTATCTCTGCTTGAAGATGACATGATCTTGTATACAAAAACATTCTCAGGACTCCACTAAAAAACTATTAGAACTAATAAACATGTTCAACAACGTTGCAAGATACAAGATCAATATACAAAACTCTATTTCTACACACTAGCCATGAAAAATCCAAAAATGAAATTAAGAAAACAATTCCACTTACAATAAAAGCAAAAAGAATACTTATGAATAAATTTAACAAAAGAAGTATAAGACCTGTATACTGAAAACTAAAAAGCGTGTTGAAAAAATTAAAGACCTGCCTTAAAGGGTGGCTCAGTTGGTTGGAGCGTCGTCCCATACACCAAAATGTTGTGGATTTGATTCCCAGTCAGGGCACAGACCTAGACTGCGGGTTCAATCCCCAGTGGTGGCAAGTACGGGAGACAACCAATTGATGTTTCTCTCTCACGTTGATGTTTCTCTCTCTCTTCCCTCCTCTCTCTAAAAATTAATAAAAATATATCCTTAGGTGAGGATTAAAAAAAAATTAAAGACCTAAACAAATGGAAGCTTAGTATCTTTAAGATGCAATAGTCCCTAAATTGATCTGAATTAAAACAATCCCTTATTAAATCCTAGCAGCGGTTTTTTTCCTTTTGCAGAAAATGACAAACTAACCCTAAAATTCATATGGAAATGCACGGGATTAAGAATAGGCAAAATAATCTTGAGAAGAAAAACAAAACTGGAGGACTCACAGTCTTCTAAGTTTTACAACTTACTACACAGCTACAGTAATCAAGACAGTGTGATAATACACATATCACTAACAAACAGATAGATCAATGCAATAGAACTAGAGTCCAGACATAAGCCTCCCATTTACGGTCAATTCAACAAGGATGCCACAACAATTCAATAAAGAAAGGGTAGTCTTTTCCATAAATAATGCTGGGACAACTAGATATCCATACGCAAGAGAATGAAGTTAAACTATCTCACACCATATACAAATATTAACTCAAAGGGATCAAAGACCTAAATGAAAGAGCTGAAACTATAAAATCCTTCAAAGAAAACAAAGGGGCAAATGTTATATGGCACCAAAAGCACAAGCAACCAAGGAAAAAATTAAACTGGACTTCATCAAAATTAACAATTTTGTGTTTCAAAGTACACCATAAAAAAAATGTAGAAAAATACTCACAGAGTGGGGAGAAAACTCCAAATCATTTATCTCATAAGATATTTGTATCCAGGATATATTAAAAAATTCTACAACTCTAAAATAAAAAGATAACTGAATTTTTTAATGGGCAAAAGATGTAAGTAGACATTTCTCCAAAGAAGATATGTAAACGGCTAATAAGCACATAAAAAGATGCTTGACAACATTAGTCATCAGTGAAGGCAAGTCAAAACCACAATAAAATACTATTTCACACCCACAGTTCCACTTACAATAACATCAAAAAGAATCAGAAAGACAGATGTGCTGGCAAGGATATGAAGAAATTAGAACCCTCATACATTGCTGGTGGGAATGTAAAATGGTTTAGCCACTTTGGAAAACATCTGGAAGTTTCTCAAAAAGTTAAATAGAGTTACCACTTGACCCTCCAATTCTACTTCTAAGTATATATGCAAGAGAAATGAATTGTCTGCACAAAACCTGTACATGAGTAGACATACATGCATGACATATAGACACAGACAACAGTGTGGTGATGGTCAGAGGGAAAGGAGGTTTGGGGCTGGGCGGGTGGAGGTGGGCAAAAGTGAGGGGATGGGGAAATCTGTAATAGTGTCAATGATAAAAACAAAGTTAAAAAATCCAATAAAATTCTTTTTAAAAAACCACTACATTGTTTTTCTAATACAGTGAATAAAGTTTTTAAAAATAATATACCACTAGTATTGTTATATGAAGACCATATCATACATGATCTCCAACAAGAGAATATGTGAAAAAGCTAATAATATAAAATTTTACAATAAAAATAAATGTCATGGGGACAAAGTCCCAAAAGATTCCACTTTTTAAAAAGAGGAGGGGAGGGGAAAGAGATTAGATTGGCACTTAGAGAATCAGAGCATACAGTAGGTACTCAATAAATATTTTCAGCCTGGCCGGGCGTGGCTCAGTGGTTGAGCATCGACCTGGGATCCAGGCGATCAGGGTTCGATTCCCGGTCAGGGCACATGCCCGGGCTGTGGGCTCCATCAATGACTCTCTCATCATTGATGTTTCTATCTCTCTCTCTCCCTCTCCTTTCCTCTCTCTGAAATCAATAAAGATATATTTAAAAATATATATATTTTTTTTCAGAATGAATGGAGTTAATTACAATTAGATATCAACAGAATAATTAACCATTATGAACAATAACCCCTTAAACAAACTGATACTTACTGATTCTTACAGGTTACTCCTACAGAGAAATACCAGAAAAATGTAGAGTGCTAAGAATCCAATCTTTTCACAATTTCAACAAGAGAAATAAAATAAATTCAGGCAACAGTATTTTCAGTTTTTATTAAAAGCAAAACATTTTTTAAGCTTATTCATACCTTTCAGAAGAGACAAAGCTTGTAAAAGGTAAGATCCCTTTGACTGCTTAACCCAGCACAGAGAGGGCAGGAAGGCCAAGAGGCAAGTCAGGAGCTACACCCCCACCCTGACATGGAAACCCTTTCCTATTAATAATATTTGGAAACACCAAGCCAAGGCAAAGATCTGCAAAGCATTACTCTTTCACTATAAACCACAACCTGCATTACCCATCCAATGTCCTTTGCCGAAACCATAAAATAAAAGAAGTGTTTGCAAGGCTCTGAGTATGAGGTACACTGTATCTCTGGGGTACAGATCTATTATGAGGCCTCTATTAACAGCTCTTACAGATGCAAACAATTTAGTTTTCAAATGTACAAAAACTAGACTGGCACACTATAAAGTCATTTTTACATAAAATGATTTCTATCTGTCCAACTTCCAATCTTCCTTTAAGGAGAAGTTAGACATTTATAGGAAATCACTAATGTGTTAGTATTCATACCCTGTTTTTCAAGTGCAAATTCAACAACATCATTAAGATGACTAAAATACAGAAGAATACAACTTGGTGATAATACAGTTTCTTATTCAAAATTAAGTAGGCTAAAATATCAAAACATAATTGAATTATTGTCTTCATTAATAAGCAGGTGGCTTTAGTAATTAATGTAAAGCTGATGAGAAATGGAAAAAAACAAATAGCTTTCAAACAATTTTTTGAATTTTTTTAAAAACAGTGAATACAAACAGGATGTACATTCCACTGTTGTTATAGTCTTTTTCAAACTACCACTGGTAAAAGTTGTACAATATATCTATCTTACCTGATTCTATCCTAAGAATTACAAATTCCCTGATATTTCATCATCAGTTCTCAGTATTTACAGGATGAATGGAGGCCAATGAAAATGTACTGCCAAAAAATCATTTGGGAATTTTTTTGTTTAGTAGCCAATTAAGCTCAAATTTTCAAGAACTGGATTGTTGAAAGATTTCCAATTTAGAGTCTTCTGTGGTGGTATAGATTAAGATTCATTCATTCAAAAAATATTTATTGGACACCTATGTGCCAGGCAAGTCTTTTCAGTAAAGAGCCAGATATATTATATAGTTCAGGCTTTGCAGGCCACACAGAAATTTCTACAACTACTCAATTCTGCTATTTTAGTGTAAAAGCAGCCAGAGAAAATATACAAATGAATGATCATGGCTATGTTCCAATAAAACTTCATTTATAAACATTGAAATAGGAATTTCATATAACTTTCAGGTGTCGTAAAATATTCTTCTCTTGACTTTTTTCAATCTTTTTTTTTTTTTTTCTGGGCCTGCTTTGGACATTCTAATTGTTTTTCAAAGTAAACACTTTGGGTTTTCAACCATTTAAAAAAGTAAAAACCATTCTTAGTTTACCGGCCATTCAAAAACAAGCAGCAGTCCAGGTTTGGCTTTTAGGCCATAGCTTGTTAATCCTTGACCTAAACCATGTCCCATCCACATGGAGGCTCAAGTCTAGCTAAGAGAGACAGACAATAAGAAATTAAGTAAATTAGATGCCACATTAGATAGTAATAAATATAACAGAGAAAAATGAAACAGGATAGAAGACAAGGGGTACTGGGCATGGTCAAAGGGCTATTAGGGGGAGATAAGAAGACCACAGGGGTAGTCACAATTTATTCTTCCTTCTAAGTGTTTACTTTGACATAGTTTCAGAAATACGGAGAAATGCTATAATAATATGGTATCCAGAATATATGAAGAATTCCT